ATATAGTGAGTTTTGGTTTGATTTGGTTTTGTCCATTCATCGCAACCTAGGGATGAATAAAACAAAGTCCAATAACACATTGTTGCATGGAGACTGATGCAATGAATTGAATTGCTGATTTCGTAACATTGTTGCCTGAAGACTGATGCAATGAATTGAATTATTGATTTTGTAACATTGTTGCCTGGAGACTGATGCAACGAATCATGTTTAAAAAAGCGGGTTCGATAATAAATTTGCTGCATGGATAGTGATTCAATGGAAAAGTTTTGATAATTACATTTCTGCATGGAGACTGACGAAATGAGTTGAATTGTAGATTTTGCACATTACTGCATGGAGCCTGACACAATGGGCTAGATTGCTGATTTCACAACATTACTACCTGGAGTCTGACACAATGAGCTAGATCACGAAGAAAGAACATATTGTTGCGTGGAGACTGACACAATAAGTTAAATATAGAAAATTTCACACATTGTCGCATAGAGACTGACACAATGAGTGGAATTGCTGATTTTGCAACATTGTTGCCTAGAGTCTGACACAATGAGCTAGATCGCGAAGATAGAACATATTGTTGCATGGAGACTGACGAAATAAGTTAAATATAGAAAATTTCACACATTGTCGCATAGAGACTGACACAATGAGTGGAATGGATGATTTTGCAACATTGCTGTCTGGAGTCTGACACAATGAGCTAGATCGTAAAAGAAAAACATATCGCTGCATGGAGACTAACACAATAAGTTATATGTAGAAAATTCACACATTGTTTCATAGAGACTGACACAATATGTTTGAATATAAAGGAAATTGTTTTGAGTGATCCACATCTTAGTTAACTAAACCAATAGCCATAACATCTTCATTCGGGAAGTCAAATTTCTTGGGTTGATATTCTGGCAGTGGTTCATGGGCTAGATGATCAGCCAATACACTACCCTTGATAGCTTTTTAGGTAACATATAGTATTTTGTACTCCGATAGTAACATCTGCCATCGAGCAATCCTTCCTGTAAGAGCTGGGTTCTCAAACACATATTTTAAAGGATCCATCCATGCTATTAGCCATGTGGTATGCGTCAACATGTATTGCCTCAATATTTTAGTGGCCCAATCCAAAGAACAACAGGTTTTCTCAAGGAGTGAGTACCTGATTTCGCAGTCAGTGAATTTCTTACTAAGGTAATAGATCGCATGCTCTTTTCCACCTGTTTCGTCTTGGTGGCCAAATACACACCCTATCGATCCTTCAAGTACAATTAGGTACATAATGAGAGGTCTCCCCAGGACTGGTGGTATCAATATTGGTGGCTCTTGCAAATACTACTTTATTGCTTCGAAAGTTGTTTGGAAATCCTCATTCCATGTTATCGTTTGATCTTTTCGCAGTAATCTAAATATAGGCTCGCATGTGGCAGTTAGGTGTGATATGAACCTTGAAATGTAGTTCAAACGACCTAAAAACCCACAAACCTCTTTTTCTGCTCTTGGTGCTGGCATTTCTTGTATAACTCTTACTTTGGCAGGGTCCACTTTGATACCACGCTGGCTTACAATAAAAACTAATAACTTGCCTGATCTGACACCAAAGGTACACTTGTTTGGGTTCAACCTTAGTTTAAACCTTCACATTCGATCAGATAACTTCTATAAATGTATGATATGATCCTCCTCTATATGAGATTTGGCGATCATATCATCTACACACACCTTGACCTCCTTGTGAATCATGTCATGGAACAGTGACACCATTTCCCGTTGATAGGTTGCCCCTGCATTTTTCAAACCGAATGACATTACTTTATAGCATAAAGTTCCCCAAGGTGTCATGAAGGTAGTTTTATCCATATCTTCAGGTACCATTTTGATTTGATTGTAACCTGAGAAGCCGTCCATGCATGAAAATACTGAAGCTTGAGCTGTGTTGTCTACGAGAACATATATGTGAGGTAACGGGAAGTCATCTTTAGGTCTTTCCCTATTTAGATCCCGATAGTCCATACACATGCGTACTTTACCATCTTTCTTGGGTACTGGCACAATGTTAGCTATCCAAGATGGATAGTCTACCACTGCCAAGAACCCTACGTCGAATTGTTTAAGAACCTCTTCTCGAATTTTGCTGGACATATCTGGACGAGTTCTTCTAAGCTTTTGCCGGACCGGAGGACAACCTTCTTTGAGAGGTAACCTGTGTACCACAATGTCTGTATCCAACCCTGGCATGTATTTATAGGGCCATGCAAATATATCTACATACTCGTGCAATAACTTGATCAGTCTTTCTTTAACGCTTTCTTCTAATGCTGCCCCTAGCTTGACTTCTTTCGGATCTTCTGTTGTGCCGAGATTAATGGTCTCTGTTGTATCCCAAAATTTGCCCTCTCATTTTATCAAGATTTCCACTCACAAGATTCTTTGGACTTAAGACCAAACTAGGGTTTTGCTCTGCTCAAGACATTTCCTTGCACTGATGACCTAAATTAGGATTTAAGTTTGCACAAGGATTTTTGGACTTTCAATGCTCAAAATTACTTTCATACTTAATTTTGGACTTACAAGATTTCCTCTACCAAGTTCCAAACCTTGAATCAAATTTTTGCCCAGTCAATTGGACAATTGACCTAAAAATCAGTTGTATTTGGGAAAAAGTCAATTGTGACCAATTTACAGTCAAAACTCATAATTTTTGATCCACATCAACATTATAGACTCATATGGACTATTTGATCAAGTTTGGATCACAACTCCTCAAGAAATTTGATCAGATCATCAAAAGGGCAAAATGGCCATTTTTAGGGTTTTGATTGTATAAGGGCAATTTCTGATTTTTCACCTAGCCAATGGCAAAGTGGGTTCAAGCATGGATTCAAAGACTCAATGACATCATCTTTACCTATTCACAAGGTTCAAAAGATCTCAAATGCATTGGATTGACAGATGAATTTTTCAGTCAACTGATCAAAATTTGACTGCACACTGAAAAGTCAAACTTTGACTTTTTGGTCAAAATCAAGTGCCAAGGGTAATTTTTCATCAATATGTGTCAAAACATGAAACTTGTTCATCAAGAAACCTAATTTTGCAAATTAGGGTTTAAGATTGAAAAATTTCATAACTTATAATTTTTCTAAGTTATGAAATTTTCTTATTTTCCCCCAACTTTGCCCAATATTTTCACCATGATGCAATTGGATTCAAACAAAACTTTCAACATGAAAGTTGTAGTCCTCCACAAAATCTACAACTTTGATTCACAAAGTTTTATCAAAAGAAGCTTGGATCTCAAGTTATGATTTTTGGAACAAGGGTCCATGAAACTTTTAACTTAGTGAAATTTTGCCCTAGTTTAGGCAGGATTTTGACCTATCTTCATGGCCATTTTTCACATAGTTAAACTTGGAATCTCAAAATGAATTTCAAATGTGGATTGTATAGCATGTTACAAGCTTTCCAAAATGTCCAAGAACTCTCCAGAATCATTTATGGTTAGGGAGAATCGAAGGTTTGAATTTGGTAAAAACTCACTTTTGATCCATGGCATTTTCATGTTGATACAAATTGCAACTTCCATCCAGCATTTGTTTGTACTTGATTACAGGTCCCTAAACCCTTTTAAACTCAATAATTAAATTCAAATCCATTGGTTTAAGGCTTTGTTCTGATCATGGGAGGATTACACAAGAGATTAATCCAAAAATAGCAAAAAAGCAACATTACCATTTTTGTCAAATTTGCTTTATGTCAAATTGCATTCTTGAGCCTTGAACAAAATCTTGTACAACAAAAAATATCCACAAACTGAGGGGGCCAAGATCATAAAGTGCAAGCTGGTAGATAGCCTGTATAGGCCTGTCTTGCATCACTTGTTACTTTTGCTTAAAATACAAGAAAATTTGCCAAAGAGCAACAACTTGCATATCTGATATAACCAACCCTTGCAAGCATTTGAGACAAGTTTTGCACATTGTCTTGAGCCAGAAACACGAATTATTGAACCCTCAAGCCTTCCAAAACACTAAATCACCTTCCTTTTGCAAAATAGGACACTCCCTGCAGTTTCACTTCCATCTCACAAGTTACTTGTGCGTTTTGCCCCAAACTTGTTCCAATACATTCCATATAACCTATCCAAGCTATCCCAATCATTGGCCACTGACTGTAACTCCATTTGCAAGCTTCACCATTTCTGTTTTCAGCTTGTGCAGGTTGAGTTCTACAAGCTTGTTCAAGCACATCTAAGGCAAACTAAGCATTGGGGAAGGTCAGAGGAAGTTCAAGCAAGCTCCCAAGCATCTCAGGCCTCACTGAAAAGCTCCACATTGCCATACACGAGTTCATATGAAATAGGTTTTTGTCAACTTCCTACCTCTCTATTTAGGAATCATTAGACTTTGGTTTCTCAATTTAACAACGATACATTGTTCATCATAATGAAGGTCTTTCTAGAGATAGATTCATGAGTACATGTGAACGTATCTATGAGATATCAATTGTATATTGTTCTTTTTAATCTTCATCTTTTAAAAAAAAATTTGGTGATGTTTTATATTAATTCATTATATAATTTATTTTTGATTAAATTGTAGAATATTTTTAACAAAATCACATTAACATTAAAGACTTAATATTTTATTGGTAAAGTATATTCATCTAAAATTCTTTTTATTTCTAATTTTATTTCTCAATTTAACAATTGTAGACAATTCATCGTAATGAAGGTAGATCCACGGGTATATGTGAACGAATATGTGAGATGTAAGTTGTAGACTGTTCATTTTAATGTCTATCTCTAAAAAAAATTTTATTGTTGTTTATATAATTAAAGTTAAAAAATATATACGATTTATTACAAATACAAATTAATATTTAAAAATTATTGCATATTATTAGTCTATATTATTATTACAATATCAACCATTTGAAAAGTAAATTCATACTTTATAAATAATGGTGTGATAGACATGTAATATAATTCTAAACGGGACGAGATGCCATCAGTTTCTTATTTTGAGGTTAAATTAACAAAGTTGTTCACAATTTCGCCATTATTGTCTATCTTCCAAGTTGAAGAAGCAATGTCTCTGTTGAGATTAAGGTACGCTCTCTCTCTTCAGTCTTCCAACTTGTTTGTTATTCGATTCTTCTCTCACAGTCACAACCCTGTTGCTGTTGCTGTTGCTGTTGATGATGCTGTTTTCTCATTCAATCGCATGCTCAATACAAACCCTACCCCTCCCATCTTTGAATTCGGTAAGATACTATCTTCCCTTGTTAAGATCCAACATTTTCAAACTGCTATTTCCCTTTCTCAACAAATGCAACTTCGACGAATTCGAACCGACATTGTTAATTTAAGCATCTTGATTAACTGTTTCTGTCACCTTCATCAAGTCAATTTTGCATTTTCTGTATTCGCCAACATTTTCAAGCTAGGTTTTCACCCTAATACCATAACAATGAATACACTTATCCGAGGTCTCTGTAACAGTGGCAAGATTAACCAAGCCCTTCACTTTCACGATGACGTTATAGCTAATGGGTTTCAACTTGATCATGTTAGTTATGGAACCTTGATCGGCGGTTTATGTAAAATAGGAGAAACAAAAGCTGCTATGCAGGTTCTTAACAAGATTAAAGGGTCGTTGGTTAAGCCGGACGTGGTAATGTACAACACAATCATTGATAGTTTGGGAAAGGATAAACTTGTGAATGATGCCTTTAATTTATATTCTGAAATGATTGTCAAAGGAATTTCTCCTGATGTTATTATTTATACTACTTTAGTAAACAACCTTTGCATTGTCGGTCACTTGAAAGAAGCAATTGCTTTGTTAAATGAAATGTTGTTGAAAAGTATCATGCCGAATGTTTGTACTTTTAACAAACTCATTGATGGTTTTGGTAAAGAAGGAGAGGTGGAAAAAGGTAGAGATGTGTTGGCTGTTATGATAAAACAAGGCGTGAAACCTAATGTTATTACTTATAATTCTTTGATGGATGGATATTTCTTGGTTAAAGAAGTGAACAAGGCTAAACACGTATTCAACTCTTTTGTTCGAAGAGGAGTTGAACCTGATATTCGCAGCTACAATGTCATGATTGATGGATTATGTAAGAGTAGAATGGTGGATGAAGCTGTCAGTCTCTTCAAAGAAATGCATTTGAAAAACATGACTCCTAATACTATAACATACAATTCGCTTATTGATGGACTTTGCAAATCGGGGAGAATTTGTGATGTTTGGGATCTGATAGATGAGATGCATGATAGAGGTCAACCATTTGACGTGTTCACCTACAATATCTTATTAGATGCTTTGTGCAAAAGCCATAATCTTGACAAGGCAATAGCATTATTTACAAAGTTCAAACACCCGGGAATTAAGCCAGATGTGTACACATACACAATATTAATTGACGGTTTGTGCAAATGTGGAAGACTTAAGGACGCACAAGAGGTTTTTAGGATACTTATGTCGAATGGCTATCATTTAATTGTTATGTCGTACACTGCAATGATTAATGGATTTTGTAAAGAGGGCTTGATTGATGAAGCATTGACCTTACTGTCAAAAATGGAAGACAACGGTTGCATTCCGAATGTTGTAACTTATGAAATTATTATTCGTGCTTTGTTCAAAAGTGGAAAGAATCATATGGCTGTGAAACTTCTCCGTGAAATGATTGATAAAGGTCTAATGTAAGAGTTAAATTAGGTGAGTTGCTTTCTAGTTACAATTTGTTTTGAATTTGAATACAACCATCCATCTTGATTTCTCTTTCATTGCAGATTTTGCTATTCAGGTGTCTGGAGATCGCCACAATGCTGTTTACATTCTCTTGATTCTGGTTATTATAAATTGCAAAGCTGGCTGAGTTCTAGTTTTATAGCTTCAAAGTTGATCATTTTTTTTTTTTGTCTTCTGTATTTGTTAGTTAAAATCAGGTAAAATATTATTTTTACAAACTTCATTTTCATTTGCAGCCTTGCCAATTTCTGAAATCCAGAGTCTATCATTATGTTTGGTTGCCAAAACAGCTATATGATTTTGTACAGAAGTTGTGTTGCATGTTTTATTTAGCTTTTGTAAAGCCCCTAATGATGCTTTGTACATGGATTAAGTATTATGGTAGGACCGTTAGTATCAAAATTCTTCAACCAGTGCTAAGCCTACCAAATATTGAAGAGAAAATTTCTGATAAAGAAAGTAAGTAAATAACTAACTCTTCAAGTATTAATTTTTTTACTATTACCCTGTAGAATGTATTTAGAGATCACAAGTTATATACATGACTAGGATGTGTAAGAACCGAGAAGAATTAAGGTTGCAACAAGTAAGACATGTGCACTCCCTCTCCTGCACTCTCATTAAACATAAACCCTCTCATTCATGTGAATACTCTTCTGCACATTAAATACAATTCACCTACTCATCTCAGCATGACACTCCCTATCCACATCTTTTACATTTCTTCCTACCTAATATATAACTTAGACTCTTCAATTCATTGCTTTTCCCTCATGTTATACTTTCAACACCACCATGTCAATATCACTCCTTTTCCTCTACATTCTCTTCTTCCCTTCCTACACGACTCTCCCTAATCCCATTCTCCCAACACCATCATCTCATCCAACAACATTAACTATCCCTTCATTCCAAGAACAATCTTATGTTAAAGGCTGTCCTTTATCTCTCTCAAATGAACTTTTCAATGGCATAAAAAATGCATGTAGTTCGTCAAAACACAGTAAACTCGACCATAGCCGATGTTGTCCCGTTCTTGCAGCATGGTTGTATTCTTCCTACTCTGCCACCGCTCTTAGAAACCACCCATCACCGTCGTCATCATCATTTGACATGCCTTTGGTGCCAGATGATTCAGAAACATGTGTGGATGGTTTGGAAAAGGCTTTGAAAGTTAGAGGAATTGAGATTGTAAATCCAAATGAGAGTTGTGATTTGGTGTATTGTTATTGTGGAATTAGGCTGCATCCTTTTAACTGTCCTGATTCATTTTCTGTAACCAAAAGAGGGGAGCTTGTTGGAGATCAAAGTGTTAGAAAGTTGGAAAAGAGTTGTTTGAGTAGTGAAAAAAACGTCAATGGCTTTCAAGGTCTTGAAGGGTGTTCTAAGTGCTTGAATAGTCTCTATTTGGTGAGTTTTTACAAAGTTTAGAAAAATATATGTTTATATTCTAATGGGTATATTCTGTGTTCTTTGCTGGTTTTGGTCATGTTTGGATGAGCAACTTAATTAGCCGCTTAAAACATAAGTAGTATGCTTTATGAACTTTATTTGAGTTTATCTAATAGCACAAATATTTGTATTATCTTGTGATATGTTCTTAACTCAAGTTGTTTTTAAATTATTTTCATAACCTCACTACAATATTTGTCACTGTCTAAGTACAAAAGAATAAATTGAGTTTTTGGTGTCTACATATGGAGAGGACAGTTGAGAGTTAAATGAACTCACCAATCACTTTTGTTAACTCTTTCTCTTTTGATAACTTTGGTTGCAAATTAATTTCATAGAAAATTTCCGGTTAAATATAAATAATTGCTTAGTGTCAGCACACATAAACCTTTGATTATCATCCCTCAAATTTATATGCCACTTTTGTAATGTTTGATATTTTAATTGAAATATTACTTTTGATTACAGCTTAACAAAAAGGCTTCAAATTCAAGCAAAGAAGACAGGACCGCAAAGATTCACAACAATGATTGCGAGCTAATGGGCTTGACATGGCTTTTGTCGAAGAATTGGACACCTTATATACACACGGTTACCGACATTCTTCGTACTTTATTGTTGAACAATGATGGATCTAAGCCAAAATCATGCACTCTTAATAGTAATGGAATGCCTCTAGCCGTTGATTCATCTGAAATCATAAATGAGCAATCTTCTTCAACCAACCTCCAACCGCCTATGTCTCTTTCTTTGTTATTAGTACTTTGTTTGGTACTATGTGTGCATGTTATTGTGCTATTCTCTTAACTAAAACCCTAATCATGATTACTATGTGTTGAAAAGGGACAAGTACATTTCAGAGACAATTATGTATTTCACAAGATATTTATGAACTTTACCTTCATATCATGTAAGTTCTATGTATACACTTATTAATGTGGGAGGTGGTAGGTATTTATTGCTAGTACAACAATTATTAAATGAAATGTTGTTGAAAATATCAACCCGGATGTTCATATTTTTACTATATTGGTTGATGGTTTATGTAAGGAAGGAGAGGTGAAAATAGCTAGAAATGTGTTAGCTATTATGATAAAACAAGACATGGAACCCAATATTGTTGCTTATAGTTGTTTAATAGATGGGTATTTCCTAGTTAAAGAAGTGAACAAGGCTATGCATTCAACTCTATTGTCCGAAGGGGAGGGAAACTTGATCTTCACATCTATAGTATCATGATTAATAGATTATGTAGGAGTAGAATGGTGGATGAAACTGTGAATCTCTTCAAAGAAATGCATTTGAAAAACATGGCTTTTGGACTTTGCAAATCAGGGAGAATCTCTGATGTTTGGGATCTTCTAGATGAGATGCATGACAAAAGTCAGCCTGTTGATATGTTTACTTCCAATTCTTTATTGGATGGTTTGTTAAAGAATCATGAGGTTGACTTGGCAATTGCATTGTAAGATTCTATGTATACATACACTATACTTGTTGATGGGCCATGTAAAAGTGGAAGATTCTTCTTTAACAATGCACAAGAGGTTTATCAGATTCTTCTAGTTAAAGGCTATCATTTTGATGTTAGGATTTATACTTTCATGATTAATGGGCTTTGTAGACAATGCTTGTTTGACGAAGCATTGTCCTTGCAGTTGAAAATGAAAGACAATGGTTGCATTCCTAATTCTGTAACGAAATTATTGTGCTTTGTTTCAAAACGGCAAGAATGATAAGGCATCGAAACATGTTCGTGAAATGGTTGCTAGAGATCTATTGTAAGATGTAAACTAAGTGAGATGATTTCTAGTTACAATCTGTCATTTTTGAATTTGAATAGGATTATCTAATCTTAATTTTCTTTTTGTAGTTTTAAAAGATGAATATTCGAATAGGGTTACTTTTGTGTTTGTTTTGATTAGTAAAAGGGAAAAGTTAAACAATATTCTTTTTGTTGCTCGAAATTTACTTCTGTTGCATTTTTGCATAGCAACCGGGCGGTGATTGATCTCCTCGCCGTGGTTACCAATCCAAATCCGCCTCAATTTTGTCGGTGAAAACTCATTTTGTTTGTGTTTTGTTTGAATTTGAGTTTGAGCATTTCCACCTCGGATATGCCGTTTATGTCGGGTTGTACTTTGTTATTTAATTTTGACAATTTGATTTTGATAATTTAAAATATTAGTTGTATGGTCAATGCTTTAATATTTTGATCTATACTTTATTATTTAAAATATTTGAATGTATCTTTAAAATTTTCGAGATTGTTTTACTTTATTATTTGTAATGTAAGTTGATGTTTGTTATACTTCGGGACAAGTTTTATGTTCGAGAAAATTCTAAATTTGAGAAAAATAACTATTTCTATTAAAAAATTGATTCTATTGTAGAGATGAGAATGTGGTAGGGATAACCAAACTCAATTGAGACGAGTTTGAGGTTCAATTTGTCATCTCCTTCAGAGAATGATTAAGCTTCTATTTTTCCTATTTCAAAGGTCTTAATGTCATGTTTCTTTTATATCTATTTGCATGAAGGTTCGTTGTAATGAATGCTTATTAGGTTTTCTTGCTTCAATTCCTTTCAATTCCTCTCCTTTGTCATCTTGTAAATATTGTTTATCTTAATCTTATAGATTCAAAAGGAAAAGGATAGGAATCACAAAATGAACATTACTCAATATTTTCTAGATTAAAGACCTAATTTAGTTCCTCTATATGTGCAGATTGGTAACATAAAAGATAGCTTAAGTCTATTCCAAATCGAAGCAAAAACCTCATGTTGAAGAAGTATAGGAAAAACCTCAAGCTCAAGTATAATTTGAATCAAAGGCAGAACCTCTTGTTGAATATCCATTCACTATTGGTGCACAAAGGTTAAAGATGAAAAATGAATATGGAAGAAGAAAGAAAAACGGTTGTACTACAATAACTTGTTGAGGAAGAAATTGTATATTAAAATCTCTTACTAAAACCCTAGTTACAAAGTTGTTTATACACAAAATAAACTGCCACGTAGGTCCTAACAAAAGTAAACTTAATAGCTAATTTAAAATAAACTAGGTGTAATACGGTGGGAGAACTGACTTGGTTTTGTGTTTTATCGCAAATATGCGGATAGCAAGAGTCACCATTGATTTTTCTTTTATCCAATAAGGAAAGGGTGAAAAGAACAGGAAAGATCTTCGAAAATTTTCTTGAGTTCGGGGGGTAGGTTATGAAGAGGAAAGATGTTAGCATCCTTTTCATCCGTAGTTATCTACGGGCTCTTAATCGCTAGCTCACTTTAAAAATGCTTTGTGTGTTTGTTTGAAAATATTTTTAAAATGTCTAAGTACGGCAACTTTGTAATGATTCTTGTATAAGTTAAGAATGCGTACAAAGTGTTTGTTTTTGAAAATATTTCAGAGAAAGTGTTTGTGAAAAAGAGATGTTTTTGTGAGAAAGCGATTACGAGCTATCTACCTACTCAAAGATCTTTCGTGTTATTTCCCTCCTGTCTTAGATAGTGCTACCCTACCATTGGTTAGTAGGAAGCCCTATCGTTGGATGTGAAGGGACAAGCACAGGTCATCGTACAGTCATAAAGGTAACTCGTAGGGGCGCTTTAGTAATTTATCGTAAGGGACTAAGATCGTTTACCGAAGGCAGCATCGAAAGGGTTATCGAGGGACTACGATCTTTTTAACCGATGGTCTTTGATAAGGCGTCCCCACGTTCGAGGGACATGATTGTTTTTATCTGAAGGCAAACAAGTGGGATTATCCTAGAGGTGAGTGTGTGAAAAGTGATTCAATTCAGTTATTTATCTTGATTAGGGTTTTCTATGATTGGTTTTAGATCTTTCCATACACGCCTAGTTACTATACAATAATAAGGAAAGTGGTAAATTGTAGAAAGTAAAGGTGCCGAAAGTAAACCTAAACTATTACAGGGCTTCGGGAGTGGGGGTACAAAACCATAAAATCTAGGGGAAAATAGTAAACCCTAATTAAGACTATTACAAACTGTAACAGTTACATAATTGGGAAAATAAGCTAATGCGAAAGTAATGAAGTGTGCGAAGATTGTAAAACAAAGAGAAAAAGAAAATTGAAAATCATTTTGTGATCGTTTGATGATTAATCTAAAAAAGCCCTAATTGATTTGAATTTAGAAAAATAATTAATTGATTAAAAAATTGAAGCAAGCTTAACTATGAAAGCATACTCGACACAATTTGTGTTAAACTGACTCATATGTTTGTTAAAATTATTGCTAACCACTTCGCTTCTTCGAATCTCCATCTCTAATCATCCATTTCTATTCCATAACAAACTTCGATTTCAAAACTTGCATGTGCATCAAACAAAATTACTTTTCAAAATGTACAATTTTATCTACGAAATGACACTTAGCATCAAGGAGATATCAAAAATTGGTTTAATCAAAAGCGATCATTTCCAGGAGGCTCCTAGCTAGGGGAAAAACATCTAAAGAAAAACCCTATAATTGTAAGCCAGACTAATGATTGTAGGGGTATATCACATGAAATCCTATTGAAAATGGGTGATCATTATGAGATTCAATCAACTCGGATCATGTTTTAAAGTGTTGTTCAATCAGGGGCATACCTTTCGAAGGGAAATTGCTTAATCAAGTTCAAATCACAACATCGTAGGACTCAGTTTCCTCTTTCAACAACTTCTTAAGGCCCTAATGTTCAGGGGGAAACCTTCAAGACTTAAACATTGTGGCAGTGTACATCAAGTTCATCTTACAACATTAAAGATCCAAGGTCCCTTTCAAGCAATTTCAAGTACAAACTTTTCAAAGATTCAAATCTTGGGGCAGTCTATATCAGGTTCATATCACATCATGGTTTGGTCCAAGTTCTTTATGAGGGTACTTCCTCTAGATCCTAGAGATTGGGGGGCATATCTTTCAAAATTCGAATGTTGGGGAAAACCATTGCGAGATTCGATCAAAAGGAGTTGGTTCAAAACAATTCATCAAGGGCAAATCATCCAAGAGTACCTCCTCTAAATTCTGGAGATTGAGGGCATAATATTTCAAAGTGCAGAATAGTAGGGTTATTCATACTATGATCAAACTATTTCCAAGCTCGTATCAAGGAGAATCTCTTCCCATACCTGACATATTGGGGCAATATATCCCACAAATAAGCAAGCTATTTGCGATCCCCCAGTGGATCTTTCACCCACGTCAACAATCTTCGAGTTTAAAACAAGTATCGGGAAATCACATTAGCATCACGCCATGCGATCGCGAAGCAGCCTTAGCAACCCTTTTACACTTTAATCATCCACGACCCATCATAGGGGCATCAGTCAAAAGCATACGAGTCTGCATAAATCATTGTCATGCATTCATTAGGTTACTTCGATCCAGAATCAAGCTATACGTATCATCTCATCCATCTTATGAATTCCGACATAATGGATCTAACTAAGATCCCAATCTCAGTTGGAGTCAACCCTTAAGCCCAATTCTCATTGGCACATCAAAAGTCCAACATCCATTGACGTGTATCCAAGTTACTCATTACATGCATTGGTCAATCATTACATACTACGCATTAATACTTGCATTTGCATGCATACATGACATATTATAGACCAAGACTTAGGAACCCCCCTCCCCCCACCCGTAAAAAAATCCAGAGTCAATGTCCAGGGGAATAACTATTCTTAATCTACATGTAATCTCCAGCTAAGTCAGTAACATCTCTCTAACTATTCCTCCCATTGAGTCTGTTGTACAAGTATTATTCGTAAAACTAAATTGTAAGCAGCTTATGTACGATCGTTCAAGACGTGAGCAACCTCGTGCATTTTCCATTAGCCTTAAGACCTGATCAGCCTCATGCATTTTCCATTAGCCTTAAGACGTGAGAAGCCTCACACATTTCTTTATTCGTGTTTCATAAAAATACGTGATCAACCTCATGCAACCTCATCCATTATTCATTCGTAGGCAGCTCTACGAAGCATGAGCAACCTCATGTGTCCATATGTAAGCAGTCTTATGTAAAAGTTGCGAGCAACCTCATACTTTCCAATCATCTAATCGATGTCTCCTGGTGACATCACCAATATTAGCAACCTTGTTGTCTGTTTCACCTTTCCAAGTTGATACTATTCTAGTAGCCCTACTGACGTTGGTGTAAAGCCTAGTTCTTGTCTGGAGCATTATTTAAAAACCCCAGTTCTTGTCTGGTAGCATGCCTTAAGCAATGGTTTTTCATTTCAAATAACATGGGTATTGCATTTATCAATCATCGCATCATTTCAATTCATAACATTGCCAAGTATACATACCATGCATCATGCACACATCAAGCATAATCATGTCAAACATGCATACATACATTACATTCAATCATATATGCCCATGAAAAACTACTAAAAGTATCAAGGCATGCTTACCAGCTAAGATACACTTAATTTCAAATCCAAGCTTAGTATTATCCATTCATCTTGCTATCACTATAGCCACCTCGATTGAGAACGGACACAATCGTCAAAGGTACCACTATTAAAATTTCACTAGGAAGCTTACCTACGATTCATATCTAAGGCCTAGTCATCACCAGCCTCCGAGAATTATACTTTCAATTATCAAATTCAAACCTTTCAAAAATTCAACTTCATTTGATTATCGAGCCTTGGTTGAAAACAGACACAACCACCATCATCATCGAAACTTCAGGTTTTAATCTCAAAACCTATAAT